CTAGATCAATGCATAATAAATCATAAATCATATGTCAATTAAGTCAGTATTACTCTACATATGACCTTCAACACTTAGTTAAAATTTACTAATTCATCAAACAGAGTGTGCTTGATGCCATTCTTGGTGCACTTGGCACTATTGAGACATAGAGCTTTTATATCTTGTCCATGCTTGACACCAATCCCCAAGCATTTGATGTGAATGAAACAGAGAACCCCCAAGTCTCTTATGCTTGGTGTGAAAATACTCACACCTAATCCCAATTAGGCAGAAAACCTCTACTTGTCTGACGCCCATCGTCACTCCATAAGCTCTCGACGTCAATTCAGGTAGAGATGATTCTCTCTCCTCATGTCTGGTGCCATTCAACTTAACATCTAGCATGATCATGTTAGAGACAATTCTCCCTCCTCACATCTAACATCACCAATCTTGTGTCTGACGCAAATGAAATAGAACATCGGTGATTTGAATCACATCCAACACCATGAAGATGTGCCTATTGTGATGAAAAATTCTACACTCAACAAAATCTTCATCTAGCTTAATCCACCTGAAATACAGTAGGAACCCAACATGCAATCAAATATATGAGATACATACCACTTAAACAACACCAAAAACAACCTAAAATAACAAATGCGACTATCCAAAAATTCAAACTTAACAAAGCAACCCAATAACACCATTTAAGGGCACTCCTTCACAAGTTCAATTCATAACTTCCATTAATTCCATCGAGTGAGTGACAAACTTAGATAACCACAACAACATTCAATCAACTACAAACTCAAATCACAAGAGTTCCTTCATCTTTAGTCGATCAACTAAGAAGAGGAGAAAGAGAAGAAGAGGAATCCATATGACTTTTGACTCAAGATCTTCAACTCCACAAGCTTGGATCTCCTAGCTAGTCACCTTGGATCAAATGTAGAGAAGGATTGAAAACAAGTTTTAATAGGATAAAAGAGGAAGAAGAAAGTTTGGCTCACAAAACTTCTATCTAATTTTTCTTAAAACATGAACTTATGAGACTCACATTTAAAAAAAAAATATTTATACACCCTTCATTAAGTTGAACCAACATAACTATGTGTGAAACAACCTTAAGGACAACTTAACTTCTAGGTCCCTTAACCTCCAAAGCCCTAAAACAACTATCATAATACCAAAACAATAATTTAATCATATATCAAATATAATTATATTAAGCACCTAAACATATAGTGTTACAAAAAAAAGAGAAAAAAGAATATGAGATAGGAAAGAGATAAATGAGAAAGAGAGTGAAGTAACCCCAAGCATGTAGTTCAGCGGTAGGGGCTGACCCACGCTTAAGCAAGGTCAGGAGTTCAAATCCTGCCTTGTGTATGTAGTCGCGTTAAATCTTGGGCCCAGCTACCCCACCCTTGGAGGTCCCTCCAATGTAGCGAGGAGATTAGTCACTGCTATCGGCGGTGGATACTCTAGGGACGAACAAAAAAAAAGATAGAGAGCGAAGTAAGAAAGACGATAGAGATAAATAAGATTTAATAAAGGGAAAAAAAGTAAGAAACAGAAGAAAAAATGTTTGGTAAAATTATTGGTCGGAGACATGTGAGCACGGGAGGATGTTGGCATGCACCAATGCAGACCAAATCCTAACCACTGGAAGAAGATCCCCGCGCTTCACGTGGAGAGGCTGCTGAGATCAGTTCCTGTGGAACCCAAGTCCAGGCATGCAGATGGCAGCCTCTACCACTGCAGGGTCCATCGTGTCAGTTGAGTAGTTGCCATACTCAGACACCTCATCAGCCCTCAGCTCAGTCCCCAGAAACTGATTAATCGTCCTGGCATCATAGGGGACTCGCACACCCCTAACATAGCTGGTAAATGGCGCAATGCCCTCCTCCAGTCTCAGGGCATTGGCATAGAACTCCTTAACCACTGCTATGTTGGTCGGGAGTGGGTAGGATCCAAGCTTGTCCTACCGTTGCCTGTGTAACTCCGTCTGGAACTCCGGGGCCTCATTTTCTTCTAACTCAATCCGCCTCTCCAGAATAAACTTCCTGCTATTGATAGACTCAAAGTGAGTCTCATTCCGCTCGGTGAGGAAGAGGTTGGAATAGGGCCAACTCGGCTTGCGGGGAGGTTGACCCGATTTGCCAGCACAGGGGCGCTTGCTTGAGGAAGCCATCTGTAGAACATAAAACAAGAAATCCCAGGCAGATAGATGAGCATAATAAGGTAAACAGGGATGACCCGTTTAGGTAAAGCATAATGAAAGCTAACCTTAGACCAAAAGCTAAACAGACACAGAAAAAGAAAATTAAAACACAGCACACAAGGGGTTCAGGGGTGTATGGCGCCAGGCGTGAAACACGTACGCCGGGCGCAGAGAATAGAGAGAACTCTCTAGAGTAACTCGCGCCGGGCGCAAAGCAGAATTGCGCCGAGCTTACGACACATAAAAAGCTCTCTGGAGCTTGTCGCGCCGGGCGCAAAACAGAATTGTGCCGAGCGCAAGTAAACCTTTTTTTTTTTAAATTGGCCCAGAATGGGCTGTTCCAAGATCAGAACGGACCGTTCTTAAGTTCGAAACGGGCCGTTCTGGAATTGGAACAATCCGTTCCAAAGTTCGAAACGGGCTGTTCTGGAATTGGAACGGGCCGTTTCGAAGCTTTATAGTAGGCACTCGCGCTTGGCGTGACTGCACCCCAATGGGGGTTAACAGAAACCCCATGGAATCCCAAAAAGAAGAAGAAAAAATATGCAGAACCAATTATAAAAGACAAGAAAACACTGAGTGTGAACCTACTTGAGCGTGGAACTATTGTAGAGGAGAAGGTATGGCAAGCGCGACCTTGAGATGGATAATGCTGACGGTGAGTGATGAATAGAAAGGGTTGTGCTGTGAGAGGCTTGAGAGAATGGGGGAGATGAGGAGAGTTTGAGATTGTGAGAAGAAGAGGGTCCGTGAGAGGTTGAGAGTGTGTGGGAGAGGAGTTGAGAGGTTGGAGTGAAAACGTGAGAAGTGGGAGAGTGGGCGTGAGGGGTTATGGGGCATCTGAAGGGTCGCGCCGGGCGTGCAATTACCCACGCCGGGCGCGGTATCAGTAGAATCCCAAAGGTTGCCCTTATCTGGTATGGCGCCGGGCTTTGGCAGATACGCGCCTGGCATAATTAAGGCTCAGACCTTCCAGTAGTTAATGTGCCCGGCGCCCCAATAAATGCGTTGGGCCTGGTCGTTCCAGGGACTCTAATAAATGATCGGACGGGCGCAATATAAATTGCGCCCGGCGTGGGTCTTGGCAGAGACCAAATGGCCCTAGGTGCGCTGGGCGTGTCTATGTCGCGCCCGACGTGGTTAACTCTGTGAAGCCTTCACCTAGATTTGCCACTCCTCACACTCTTAACGTATTCTAATCTATATTAACCCACTCAAGCAAGATTCACACAATTAATACCTAACACAAAACACATATAATACGATACAACATACATATCACAGAACATAAACAATCACAAAACAAGTCCCATAAATAAGTATAGCATACAATTATAACACGATCATAATAAAAGCTAAAACACAAGTAACTGAAAAGCACATAAAAACACAGTTCAGATCTCTAGGTTGCCTCCCAGGAAGCGCTTGTTTAATGTCCCGAGCCTGACAAGAAGAGACCTCAAAGGTCTCTGAAAGGAAGGATACAACAGAGTCTTCCATCCTCCATGAGTGCTTTCTTTCTCTCTCTACTTTCTCCTTCTTTCTCTTTATCAATTTCTTCCTTTTTGCCACTCTTTTTGTCATTTTCAATTTTCATTTTATTTCCTTCAACCGACTCAATTCCTTCACTCCTTCTTCATAGTCTTGGCTCTCTCATTATTCTTCTCACTCTCCTTCACCACAAATTCCCTACCACTTCACGTGCATACTGCATTTTAGTGCCCCTTAGGGTTTTGCTCGGTGTTTGCTAAGAAAAAACATTTTTGTTGCTCTGCTAGCTACTTTGCTATTTGCCCCACCTATATCTCCAGATTTTTGTATGCAAAGTGGTGGACATGCAGCTTCATCAAAAGGTAGCAGACAGAAAAGCTCTTTATCTGAAGTTGGTGAGCCATCAAGTATTTCAAAAAGAAGCCACGTGTCTAAAACTAAGTCCAAATCTATTGTGTCTGAGGTTTCACATGGTCACAGCACTGGCATTTCCTCTATGTCCCCAGATCATTCCCATGAAAGAAAATCAAAGAAAAGAAAACATAAGGAATAATGTTTTCTACACTCGCTATTGGCTTATTTATAGTGTAATATTTAAAGGTTACATGCATTTCCCAGTCCTTTAAATATGTCCCGAAAGAATAGTTCTTGACTTTTATGTTGCAGAAGGATGATAAAATTTAAATGCTTGCATTCTCTTTGTCTCTCTACATTTTTTTTTGTTTTTTGCAAATTTTCATCTGGTTCAGTTCGACAATGTTCACTGATGTAAGGACCCCTAGTGTTAAATTTTCATTTTTGTAATGCTCACTGGCATTTACTCTGAGTATGAGCAGTGTTAAATATTTGGAGGGAAAGTTTTGTCATCCAGTCTTACCTATATTCATACCAAAATGTACCACCTTTTATATTTTTCTCATCTGTCTTCCCGTTTGTGTACTGAAGGACGATATTAATTTTGTTGTGGCATTTTTATTTTATGGCCAGAATATCCTTTAAGAATGATGATTTTTCTTGACTATTTTAGCTAATTCAAATTGTACTTAACCATTTTTAAGGATGTATAGCACTTTATTCTTATAATATAAATCATTTAACTCTTATTAATTATAAAATCCATTAGTTTATAATATTTATCTATAAAATTAGATTAAATAATTTATTTAAAAAATGACAAACAACCTAGTTGTATAAATATTACTTAGAATCATTTTTTTAAGAAAACTTATAAGAAAAGTCTTTTTAAGTTATAAAAATGCTATTTAGTGGGTCATTTTTATATTTGGAAAGTTGGAAGACTTTATATCAAAAAAAGTGTAACCAATGCATCAAACTGCAAAAGAAACGACAAATATTTCAAGGGACCACTCATAAGTGATCTGATTAAATAATTTGTTTAATATAGAAGACAGAAGGCATAATACATAATGATGAAGTACAGATTGACATAACAAGAAAAACAGAGGCTAGACTCTAATTGATTAATTTGGTTCTATGCATATGTCCAATATGGGTTTAAAATTTCTAAACTAACAATCTAGTGTGTGTGTGTAGTTTACTAGTCTAGTGTTGATATGTGTTGTGTTTCATGAGGCATGGCCAGGCTCCATAGTTTATTAGTAACAAATTACATTCTTTCTTCATTGAGAAAAGATAAAACAACTCAGTATCCTATACTAGCCTCCTTTTCTCTTTTGACTAATATGCTACATACGGACATACCTGCTTAGCCGCCTTCACCAAGGCAGAACTCATCAGCTTTGGCTGTTCTGAAAAATTTGTCCCATCCTCTGTAGTATGCGGAGGTGGTTCAGGATAATTTGGCGACAGACGATTAGGAGGGGCATCCCTTTGCAATGTCCCAACAGTATTAAAAGCCAAATGTGCAATCAAATTAACCTGTTCTTGTAACTGAGAGATTATATCCATTACAAGAACAACTTTCTGGAGGAAACTTGCTAAATTTAACTGCAATATAAGATAGTGGCAGCATTAGGATAAGAGTCAAAACTTTTATGACTAAAGAGAGTTCTTTTCAAAGCTTGTTTGGTAATAAAATAACTCTTCTTGGTCACAAAGTTTTTTAGTGGAATCCCCTTCATCCACACTCTTCCCTAAGAGATTTTCTTTCTTTTCTTTATTTCTTTTTCTTTTCATTTGTTTTTGATCCTCAAACACTTGGGGTGGTGTTAAAGGATTAAAAACAATTTCCTTATTTTTATGAGTGAAGGATATTTTGTTAGTGAGGCCATCATGTATAGTGTGTTTATCAGATTGCCATGGCCTACCAAGCAAAATATGACAAGCTTCCATAGGAATCACATCACATAAAACTTTGTCTTTATAATTCCCTATAGAAAACTTGACCTTCACTACCTTTATTGAGCCAATGAAGTTTATAAGGTTGAGGATGAGGAATAGTGGTAAGGGCTAACTTGTTAACCAACCTTGTACTACAACAATTTGAGCATGATCCACTATCAACAATGAGAGAACAAGTTCTTTTGGAAACTAAACATCTTGTGTGAAAGATGTTCTCTCTTTGTGATAGTGAAGTAGGACAAGGTTGACTTCCGAGTAGCCTTTTGATCATAAGAAGATCACCGTCAACAGGATAAAGTTTTTCATTTGGATGATCTTCCTTACTAGTCTCACTATCACTTGAAGTGGTAGAACTAGATTCATCAACACTACTATAAATGTCTTTCCCTCTCAAAATCATCACCTTTTTAGTTGGGCATTGAGAAGCTATGTGGCCTCTCCCAAGACATTTAAAGCATTTGATGTCACTAGTCTTACTACTAGAAGTAACAACATTGATGAGAGCTGATAAGCTGTAGGAGTGCAGGCTTCATCTCTACTAGTCTGTCATTCATTGTAGGTCTCACAATGCTAGAAAACTCCCTCGGGCTAGTGTAGGTGAAAGCATCACCTATAGTGCGCCTCCGGTTTTGATTGTCATTGTGAGCACCACCTTCACCTTCCATAGTGGACTCAGGAATGTCAGAGACAAAAACTTCAGGAATCTGAGTGGTTGGTTGACCAACTGGGTTTTCTCTAGTCCTCTTTCTCCTCCTGTTGCTGTTATTCCTCCTTGTCGTGCGTTCAATCTCAGGATCGTTCAACAATGGCTCAGAAGAAGCAGTACCTCTGGTTCGGATAGTACCTTGCATACAAGAGAAAATAAAAGACTAGAGTGCACAAGTCAACCCAAAGAATTCATTTGCTGAAATCAAAATTAACAAGAAAAGTAAAGGAACAAGTCACAAATTGCTATAAATACTAAATTGTCTTACTAATCCCCGGCAACAGCGCCAAAAACTTGTTGAGATTTCCGTTAATACCACTTTTGTTATCACTTTAAATTACTTTTGTTTTGTCAACGGTCTCAAACACGGCAAGTATACCGGCCGTTCAAGTAGTAAAATCATCGTATCCACAGGCATTAGAAGGTAACATAAGCATTTTTTGACTATTCGTGACTAAAGAATGATTCCAATTTCATAGTTTGTGAAGTGAATTCAAGGTTTTGACTACTGGAATGTTAAAACTATAAAAATATTTGGTTATGAGTGGAGAGGGGTAGAAATGGTATTATGGTTTTGTGAGATTGTGGGGTCAGATTTCACCAAACGTCAGACTAATGAATCCTTAATCTCTTGTTACATACATTGCTTAGTCAACCCATAAGTTTACTCAAACCTAATCCCTTAGAGCAAGAGCCTAGGTGCGGATATTGAATATCAATTCCTTGAGTACCCAATATCTACACCCGCATTACGGGCTAGGGTTTAAGACTACTAATGGGCCAAACTCCATTCCTAGATACATTTCCCACTAGGCATTTGTTTCAGAGCTAGTTTCAAAGGTTATTTTCCAATACCCAATGGAACCTATATCATGCAATGAGAATCAATCCAAAGCAAGCATTAAGAATAGAAACATACACAACAATGAATGAACAACATATATATATATATATATATATATATATCATTAAAACGTAAGGATTACATTATAATTCGTTGGTTACATCTAACCCCACAAAAATGGATAGAACCACTCAAAACAATGAGGGTAAATACAAAATAGAGATGAAGGGAGAAATGAAGAACCGAAGGAAATACCCACACACGAACGACTCCAAGCTCCGGGAATCCCTTCCACAGCTCCTAAAACGTGCCCAATGTGTGAATGAGGAGAAAACCCTCGAAAATGGCTTCAAATACGAACTTGGGGAGTCAGATTAGGGTTTCGCGCCCGACGCATAAGTATTTGCGCCCGGCGCAGGGCCTTCTAGTGAAGATAAGCACACTCTGCCTCAAAACACGCCCGGCGCATTTCCTTTTACGCCTGGCGCAATGTCTTCCAGAGACTTTGAGTCACTCTCTGTCTCGATCACGCCCGGCGCGGGTCATCTTGCGCCCGGCGCAGCCACTCTGCTCTGCTCCTTAGCTCCTTAGATTTCCAATCCTAAGGACCTTCAATCTTCAATTCTCTAGCTCAATACCTGCACAAAAATGAGGTGTATTAAGGTATTGTTAGCTAAATTATGGGTTAGCTATATCTGCACACAAAATGAATCAAAAAGAGAACAATTATGTTGCAATAGTGCAAAGGATGAGTGAAATTGTTCAATAAGTCTTGTCTAAAAAGAAGCATAATTGAGACTTAACAAATACCAAAACAATAATTTAATCATATATCAAATATAATTATATTAAGCACCTAAACATATAGTGTTACAAAAAAAGAGAAAAAAGAATATGAGATAGGAAAGAGATAAATGAGAAAGAGAGTGAAGTAACCCCAAATATGTGGTTCAGCGGTAGGGGACCCATGCTTAAGCACGGTCAGGAGTTCAAATCCTGCCTTGTGTATGCAGTCGCGTTAAATCTTGGGACCAGTTATCCCACCCTTTGAGGTGCCTCCAATGTAGCGAGGAGATTAGTCACTGCTATCAGCGGTGGATACTCTAGGAACGAAAAAAAAAAAGATAGAGAGCGAAGTAAGAAAGACGATAAAGATAAAAGAAGATTTAATAAAGGGAAAAAAAGTAAGAAACAGAAGAAAAAAATGTTTTGGTAAAATTATTGAATGGATGAATTAATTACATGTAAATTCTATTAAAAAAACTTCATAAAATATATTATTCAAAATAATTCATTGAAATATATACGATTTTGAATATCAATAATTTTTTTAAAATAAAAAAATCTTAATTAGATATCACCAAATTTTGGTCGAATCCCAAAAATTATATAATTGTCTTAATATAATGTCACTAGATTTTGATGTATTTTTTTAAATTATCTTAATTAAACATTACATAATTTTTTTATAATAATTTTTAAAAAAATTCATTGACCTCTTAAATTAAAATATTTTAGTTGATAGTTATATATATATATATATATATTTTATTTATTTCTCACTTTCCTAAACGATAACTATTTTAATATTCTATGACTATATCTTTTATTTATTTCTCACTTTCTTAAGCGATAACTATTTTAATATTCTATCACTATATCTTTATATTAAAATTATTTTAGTTGATAGTTTCTAAAAGAAAATTATTTTTCTATTTATTTATTATCACTTTCCGCTTTGTTTCTCATTCCTCACCAAAATATGATTAATTTTTAATATTGAAGTTAAAATTTTAAAACAAAAAAATTTAAAAAATAAACGAGTGTATATGGTTATTATTGCTTAATGGTTAAGAGTTGCGAAGAATAGCGATTTTGTTGGCGTCTCCTTGGATTCAACAGAGTGAGAGATCTTTGCGTTTCGTTTCGTTTCCGAGTCTCCAAGTCCTCTCTTCTGCACGCACTGTGCAAGACTTCATTTTTTGTGAACAAACAAACATAATTATAAACACGCAACTCAAGTACTGCTTTGTTTTCTTAAACAACAACAAAAAAGTCCCACTTCCTTTATTATTATTATTATTTTTTCCCCTAATAAGAATCTGAGAGAGTAAAGGCTCCATTTTTACCCTCCTTTCTTCTCAGAAGCGATCTCTGAACCCGACCCATTTTGTAATTCGGAAAACCCAGTGCTGATCGCTATCTGGGTGTTCCCAAGATGAAGCTTCGGAGATCCTCAATCTGTGTCCTTCTAGGGTTTATGCTGCTGCTCCTTTCGCCGCCGTCAATGGCGAAATTCGTGGTGGAGAAGAACAGCTTGACGGTGACGTCGCCGGACAACATCAAGGGCACGCACGATAGCGCGATTGGCAACTTCGGGATACCCCAATACGGAGGCAGCATGGCTGGGAACGTGGTGTACCCTAAAGACAACAAAAAGGGTTGCAAGGAGTTCGATGAGTATGGGATTTTCTTCAAATCCAAACCCGGTTCTCTTCCCACTTTCGTTTTGCTCGATCGAGGAAGTAAGATTCTCTTGCCACCTAAGTCCGATTTTAAGGTTTTAAGTTTTGTTGGTGTGATTTTAGGGTATAGTTTTGTTTCTTTGGTTGTGTAGCTCGTATTTCTTTGTTTTAGAAGAGTTTTTCTCCCTTGGTTTAATGTTTTTTGTGTTGGGAGCTAAAGTTGGTTTCTGTTGTCGGTTTAGCTGCACTGCCTTGCTTTTTTGGTTCGTGGGGTTTTACTAACATTGAATAATGTAGCCCCATTAGTTTGCTTGAATGGATTGATAGATGAAGACAGGTCTTATGTTTTATGTTAAGAATTGAATACCTATGACTTCAAATTTGTGGTTTGCTTTTGTACAAGTGGCATGTTGTAAGTATGACCGAGTCTTGATATGTTGCTTGGGTGTATTCTTAGTGTTTTTTATGTGTTGTTCCTACTTCCTTGTAGATTGCTTCTTTGCTTTGAAGGTTTGGAATGCACAGAAGGCTGGGGCTTCCGCTGTTCTTGTTGCGGATGATATTGAGGAGAAGTTGATAACCATGGACACTCCTGAAGAGGATGGATCGTCTGCAAAATACATAGAGAACATAACAATACCATCTGCTCTCATTGAAAAAAGTTTTGGTGAAAAGTTAAAGAGTGCCATAAGTAATGGGGATATGGTCAACATAAATCTTGATTGGAGAGAGGCTGTCCCCCACCCAGACGATCGTGTGGAGTATGAATTGTGGACCAACAGCAATGATGAGTGTGGAGTTAAGTGTGATATGTTGATGGAATTTGTGAAAGATTTTAAGGGTGCGGCACAGATATTGGAGAAAGGTGGTTATACTCAATTTACACCCCATTATATAACTTGGTACTGTCCTCAGGCTTTCACGTTAAGCAAACAGTGCAAGTCCCAGTGCATAAATCATGGGAGATATTGTGCACCGGATCCTGAACAAGATTTCAGCACTGGTTATGATGGGAAAGATGTAGTTATTGAAAATTTAAGACAGCTATGTGTTTACAAGGTGGCAAATGAAACCAAAAAGCCTTGGGTCTGGTGGGACTATGTCACTGATTTTCAAATTAGATGCCCAATGAAGGAGAAAAAGTACAACAAGAAATGTGCAGATGCTGTCATTGAATCACTTGGCAAGTGAATCTGTTATTGTTTATAAGTTTTCCTTTGAAGGTTGATGATGACTTCTCAAATATATGATTATTTAATATCTGCAGGACTTGATATTAAAAAGATTGAAAGGTGCATGGGAGATCCAAATGCTGATTCTGAAAATCCTGTTTTGAAAGAAGAGCAAGATGCCCAAGTACTCCTTTATAACATGAATTAGATTTTTTAGTTTATGTTATCATTTAATTGGTTGTTTCAGATTTTTATATATAGATTTTTAACCAACTGGCGTTTATAGGTTGGGAAGGGGACACGCGGTGATGTTACCATTTTGCCTACTCTAGTTGTCAATAATAGACAGTATCGAGGTTTGTACTGTATGCTTCTCTGATAGACATTGATCTGGATTTCCAATTCTTAAGTATTTGTTTATTTGTTTATTCAGGAAAATTGGAGAAAGGTGCTGTTATGAAAGCTATTTGTGCTGGTTTTGAAGAAACCACCGAACCAGCTGTTTGTTTGAGCAGTGGTAAATGTTTACTTTCTTTGGGTTGTTGGGGATCAATTTTGTTTACTTGTTAGTTTTGAACCTGATTTGTTTTGGGTCACAAACTCTTCTTGGCAGATGTGGAGACAAATGAGTGCTTAGAAAACAATGGTGGTTGTTGGCAGGATAAAACAGCTAACATCACCGCATGCAAGGTATTTACTTCGATGAAAATAACTATCTAACCAAAGAGCTATCCTGGTTCCAATTTTCTGTATACCTGATTATATATGTGAATATTTTCTTAGGATACGTTCCGTGGGAGAGTATGTGAATGCCCCTTGGTGGATGGCGTGCAGTTCAAAGGAGATGGTTATACAACCTGTGCAGGTTAAAATTTAAACTCATCTATTTTCATAAGTTTCATCTTAACTATATCTAATTCTTTGCATTTTATTTGTAATTGGAAAAAGAAGAATAGGATGAAATTAGAAGGATGCATATTTAACAGTTTGTAAACGGACCATTAATCCCAGGGACTTAATTACAAAAATTGGAAAATATTAAGGACTCAAATACAAATTTTATAGTTTAGGGACTTATTTAAAAACTAAAATGTTCAGGAACCTACTGATGTATTAAACCTATAATAAACTAAATAAAGCATAATATGTAATATAATAAGAAGAGGGTTATAATTACACCTGTGTAACTTTACCAAGTATTGCACCGCTTAATAACTTTATATTAAATGTGAATTTTGTAAATTCAACCGTTAGATTAAAAGTTCTTTACTCTTAGATCATATAAAAAAAATTCATATTAATCCAAGATGATTTGATACTTCGTTCTTATAAAACAAAATTGACATAATATATTCATTTCAAAATATACTAAAATATGAACATTTTGATTACCTTCAAGTTGTTGTTCAATTTTAATAAAATTTGATATACACATATAAAGTGATATAAACTTTCAATTTAACAGTTAGATTTACAAAATTCATAATTAATATAAAGTTATTGTGCAGTGTAATACATAATAAAAGTTATACCGGTGTAATTATAACTCTCCTCATATAATAAACTAAACAATAATAAAATTACTCAACTAGATAAAAATGTAACATAAAATATACAATAAACTATTTAAATTATAACATAATTAACTATTTATGGTCAGTCACTATCTGGGATTGACAACTTAGAGTTTGAGATATTTTACTGATTTTCATCTGTTAACTCTGCCAAGGGATGTTTACAGTCCTCTGCAAGTCATTCTGTGTTTACTATGACATATTTTAAGGACCTAATTTTATATCTTTTTTATTAGTAGGGACCTAATTGGAAACTTATTTAAAATATAAGGACTTATTTCTGAATTTTTAAACATGTGACCTAGTTTAAAATTCAATAAAATTATGGGCACCTTGTTTAAAATTCAGTAAAACCTGTAATATAGATCACAGAATAATTTTACCTTTTTTTTTTAAATGTATTCATTGTTTTATTCAACTAGTTTCTTCTGGGTTTGCAGCTAGTGGACCTGGAAGGTGCAAGATAAACAATGGAGGTTGTTGGCATGAGGCTCGGAATGGACATGCATATTCTGCTTGTTTGGTTAGTAGTTACTAAGTTTCTTGAATGTTGACAATCCACTGTGGTTTGTAAATCCATAATGGAAACTGAATTATGATAAATTGTCATTGCTTCATGAACAGGATGATGGAAGCGTTAAATGCCAGTGTCCTGCAGGCTTTAAAGGTGACGGTGTCAAGAATTGTGAAGGTGAGATATATTAATATTTTTTTTTCCTGGGTTGATCTCTTGTATACTGAAGTTATCTAGTATAGTGACATACACACAGAATATAATCCTGGATTTGTTGCCACGTATATGTTGATATTCTCGTTATTTCATAAATGTGGAGATAGTAGTAATGGGATGTGGTTTGGTATACATGTATGTGGATTATAGTTTGCAATTTCAAACCATAGTAAGAGACCCAATAGAAAAGCAACTGTTTGCATTTCCGCACGAACCAATGTTTTGAGATGAAAATCCTGTTTAAACACAAACCAGCTGAATTTTACCAACATGATGGTTTGAGGATGAAACTCAAGTCATTTTTATGAGTGTAATTAGTAGATCTTGACCATATAACAATACATAAATGATCATGATTAAAGGTTAATTAGAGTCACATAATCAATTTAAATGTCACACAACAACTTTTTAATAATGTCATATGACTTTTATGCTTTAATCTTGACAATTTATGGTATGATCTGATGGTTATGATTTAGTCCTCATTCTAGTATAATAAGAAAGTCTCCACACACACCCATACAAAAACTACTAGTTTACAACATTTTGAACTAAATCAATTGAGACCTGGGGATGGTAAAAATGTCCAGAAAAAGCTGCCTCAGACCAAGTAAAACTGGCTTTTATGTAAACTACACTTTAATAAGCCATACTTTAAACTTATTTTCACCATTAAAGTAGTGATAATTTTATTAATCCTTTGGTTATTGTTAATTGATGATGTCTTTGAATGTTTTTGTCATAACTAAAAACAAAATATCTGAACTGGTTTTGCTTCATCCTTACAGACATTAATGAATGCAAAGAGAAGAAAGCTTGTCAGTGCCCTGAATGTAGCTGCAAGAATACTTGGGGCAGCTATGACTGCACTTGTAGTGGGGATCTTCTGTATATAAGGGACCATGATACCTGCATAAGTGAGTTAAATGTTCTTTTACTTGCATGTACATTTGACTTGCTTGGTTTCATTTCATATATCTCCAACCGGGCATTCTGCAGGTAAAACTGCCACTCAGGAGGGAAGATCAGCTTGGGCTGCTTTTTGGGTTATTTTAATTGGCTTGGTTTTGGCTGGTGCTGGGGCATACCTTGTGTACAAATATAGAATAAGGGTAAGCTTTGTGACATTCTCTCAGTTTGGTGACGCTATTTATTCAATTCTAAATCTATATAGCGTTGTGGCATGCAATGAAACTCAAATATGAGAAGTTGACATTTGCAATTTACTGGTGTTTTTGCAGTCATATATGGATTCTGAAATCAGAGCCATCATGGCACAGTATATGCCATTGGACAGCCAAGCAGGAGTTGTAAATCATGCGGACGAAGAAAGAGCGTGAAAGGGAAAACTAGTCAGGCTCCTGGGTCACTGGGTGTACCTTTTTGAGCACTTGAATTTGATAGACTGTATCATATGGACAATAAAAAAAGGTTCAGAATTAGATAGTTGTCCTACGTTTTTATCGGGAATGTAGCAATTTGTATACTTATTTTAGGCCAGACTTTTTTAAGTTATTTCGTTTCACCAGATTCTAGGATTTATGTTTATGTTTATGCAGCAACATTTTCCACACTTGTGATTGTAACCTATCGTGCTTCCTAGTACAGGCTTAAGTTAACATTGTTCTTCTATTGATTGCCGGGGTCTTCTCCCCCTGCAAGACTAAACACGGCGGCATTCTATTTCGGATAATTATTACATTAAATTTCGTCTTGGGGTTTTCAAATCAACTGATGACATTATAAATATATTTTTTAACATTATATTTTCTATATTTAGAAAATGTTGTGTCTTTTTCTTTTTAATTTTGCATGTCATGGATTGATCTGAGAACATAATAAAACAAAGTATTGTCCCTTCATGTGAGAAGGCTGCATTAAATAGCATTACACTTGAGAATCGTTTTACAATTAGTGACCGGATTTACACATGAATGAACGTTACCTCTGCCTATTGGATTTTGAAATACATGGCATGAAGCCATGAACCTTATTTATGTTGTAAATAATCCATAAGAATAATCGATTTAGTCGAATTAAACAAAAATATTTTATGGTGATTTTTCAATGATTTTATTTTGAATGTTTCCCTTGTTAGATTTCAATTAATGATTACATGTGATTAGGTCAAGCTGCAAGATGAAAATGATTTTTCGTTGGCCTATGGCATCAAATTTGTAGCTGTAACAAGAGATGATTTCTTCTTCTTTCTTTTATTGGATTGTCATATTTTGAATTAAAAATGATTGATATATTCTTATGGTAAGTAAATGATTGATAATTTAAATCTTTGTAAGATTTTTTGTATGAAATATTTTCTTATAATTCAAGAAAAATTACAAGTGATTTAAGCTATTATGACCGATGTTTCCAGCTAAGCTGGTACACTAAGTATTACTATCGATGTCTATTAGACAGTTTTTTGAGAATAAAAAATCATTTAATTTTGAAAATATCTTCTATTTTTTCTTTTAATCAGTTTTAATTTCTCCAAATAACTTGTCATCACAAATGCTCCACATTGGAACTCAATTAACTCGATGATAAAATTAGTATTTGAATCTTGAAAAGATGTATAATTTTACAAGTGGACTGAGTCATTGAATGTTTTAAGTAATAGAATCGCTGAATCTTCAAGAGCATTCATTGTATTGAGAAAGTAAATGATTCGAGGCTAGTAAAACGGTGCAACCAAACATAGATTATTAAAAAAATTAGGAGTAAACAAATAAGAAATCAACTGAAAATGATTTCTCATAGTCCAAAAATACATAAGGTTCTCTTGATTAATTAATCTCATACTTCCTTAATACTTATGAACAGAACAGAAACATCACAAAATGCCAAAAGGGTACCCTCAGCTTTCAAATTGCCGGATCCCCTTTCATTGCCATGCGATATATTTATGGTTGTTTGGTTGGGGTAATATTGAGGTCTAATCCAATGTTCATTCCATTGTAAGCTATAGGAGCGTACATCCAAAGATCATCAGAGCTCAGAAGCTGTTAAATTGAAATCATAATTCAGGGAAATTTGAATGAGTCTATATTTCTTAAATGTATAGTATGAAAAATATTTTTCACTTAAGGAGCATACTCGTGTTATTACCTTAATTTGGAGCTGCAAAAACTTCACATATTGGACAGCTTCCTCAAGCATGGTGCTGATATCCACCTGAAATTCATGAGGAAGCAAATTTCAGCATCTTAACCACTTTGACTTTGTCAATAGTTGGTTACTGCTATTGAGAAAGCTACCTTGGTTCCATTGGGGACAAGGTTTTGTAGGATTCTCAACCTTTCATTTATTCTTTCTCTTCTTCTCTGCATTATGCAAAAGGCAAACCAATTTAGATCTAATCCTTCACACTTTACACTACATCATACATGGACAACAATACAATAATTAGCAAATGAAATACACTTGGCAAAGGACATACTCTTGCATATACACTCTGTGGATCAGTAGCAGAACCTCTATTAGATGTGGATTTTTTCCCCTTTAACTTGAGAGTTGTAGAATCCTCCAGGCTCAAACTTGAAGTTCCTCCTCCATTTAGCTCCTGAGAAGCATTGGACTCATCATCCTCTGAGCAGCTACTGCTCAAGCTCTGACCCTGAACACCAGGACTTCTACCCTCTTCAAAGTTACTTGTAGAATCAGATTTTGTTTTCTTCGTAGATTTAACATTTTTCTTGCTCTTCCTCCCCTATGAAATCATTAAATCAAAATTATCAAATCATGATGAGAACCACTCAAAATCAGACACACACCATTTTAGGAAAACCAAATCCTAATATAGTTATATTACTAGGTCTAGGAAACAGCAATAGTAAGTGATTCATTTATAAAAGAATATAGTAATTATGTTATTCTACCTGCATTGAGCCCCTAGATCTTTTCCCTGACATCTCCACATTGGTGTTTATATCCTCTTCTGCTGCTTCAGAAACTACTACTTCACATTCTTGGTGATCCTGCAAATTCTGGTCAGCAATAACCTCTAGATCTAACACTTCATCAGTGTTTTCATTTATCTGTTGGCAGTCACTCTTATGAACATTATATGGGCTAAACTTGGCATCCCCCGAGGAAAAACCCATGGACATGTTGCCAATGTTGGATAAAGGATCATTGAAGCAGTAGTTATTACCACTTGTAGTAGGAAATATAATGCTATTATCAGAAGTGGAGCTACTTCCTTGTAAAAAACATAAATAGTTAGTATTACTATTATCAGCATTTGCAGGAAAATATGGAGTTCCATTGATGCCTGTGACGCTCACTATTGTTGATTCATGGCCAGGCCATATGGCAGATGGAATTCCAAAATTGAAATTTCCACACAGGTTCTCAGGGAGTGAGCAGTTATCAAGAAACTGGCTCATAAAGTCAGCTTCCTCAGCTGTGTAGAATCCACTAAGAGAACTCCATTCTTCAGAAATTTGCTCAGAAGGATCCATTTTGTTTCTTTGGCGTGGCTCTTCTTTTTCTATTGTATTTGATTGTATAAGAAGCCACAATTGTAGAATGAGAACAATACTCTATTTATACCAAACAAGCAGAAACCGTATGGCACTAAGGATTGACTTCATCCATATAAAAAGATCTCAATTCATAATTGCCAATAATTAGCATCTGACAAAGTCCTACACCCTCAAATCAATATGCAAAAGTCCTTGATGGGACCACTTGTAACTGAAAAGGTCCCAGTTCCAAGTATTTGGTTTACAATTACATTGTTATAATATCATTATTAACCTTACACGGATTTCCTAGACCTGAAAATTCCTCACAATATTTAAGTATTTGAGAGTGAGAATAGGGAGATTTGAGGGTTGTTGAAAGAGAATTACACCTGTTAATTGTGAGACCGACGTGGGGTTGGCCTTGAATATGATATTAAATGAATTTTGTATTGGAAAAAAATAAAAATGACGTTTGCTAGAAGGACGGCTAGAGATCGTGGCGGTGAGTCTGACATTCTAAAACTGTTTTGAGAACTAGACAGCATTATCTGTTAACTGTGTTTTTGTCCCCTCAAGAGCTGTTAAAAACCTACCACTTTCTCCTCGTGATTTCAACTCAGTTTTTCAGTTATAGATTTGCAAACATTACGTGGATGGATACTATGCGAGATTCTTGTACCGAGTTGAGCATTTTATGTTGATGCTGAGTTGGGAATCTGGGCTATGATCCAGATGTGAAGTAAAGGCAAAATCAATCATTTATATATGAAGATTAGTTCCGGTTTCAGGGAAATGTTCTATATTGTTAATTCTATTCTATGTTTATAGTGTTGGAATATATGGACAACAATATATTCCTCTTCTAAGATATCGATTAATAAGATTTCTTGTAATTTTCATATCATTTGTGAGTACGTGAGTGCTCGTTTGATTAGATGAGAGATTCTACCTGCTGTAAGATTCCTCTTACACTCAAATTTAAGAATGCTCTACACAAAATCAGCCATTCTAGTTACAAGGATTTACAGTGGTACCTCAATGGACTTGTAACAATAATTTAACTCAAATATATATATATAATTCATTTTTGTATTGCACTGTTCGATATATCAGTTGAGCCAACCCCAAATAACTAATAATATCTGTTGGTTTCTTTGGCATTGTGAGCTCGTCTTTTTTCTCATTGGCTTTATTTTTAACCTATTTAATGTAGATTCTAGCTTGTATCCAAATTGTCTCATCTCTCAGTTACAATGTGTTTGAATTTACATTTGAGATTGAGATTCACATTTTCATGTCAAAGCTTAGTTTAATGTAACACACCTATGCAGGTGTCAATTCCGAATCCAAACACGCTATTTCTCTATCTCCTAACCTGGATACAGATTGGCCCTCTTACGTGTCTAGTTTAGCTTATGCTTAAATCCTCTTTATATATTATCAAATTTTCATTTTCCATTTTTTAATGACAATATTTTTTAGGAACTTAATCACATTAAAGTTTCTTGTTCTTTCTCAAGGATGTGTTTTGTGAGAATCAAACATACGTTTTCCGCCTCAAGTCCCAGATGTGTTGTCAATTAAGATACACTTATCGATTATTTCCTCATCAATTTCAAAAAGACTTGTCTATTAGTTTATTTAAATTTAATATAACAATATTTATTAATCATAAAAATAAATTACTCTTTAATTTTTTTTTATATTTAAATTTAGAATTATTCATACAAGGCGTGAGAAATTTGCTAGTTAACTTCATCTTCAATCCTAAATGAGTTAAGTCTCAATGAACTTTAATCAGGGGTATTAAACTAAGAAAATATCCATGATATATTGATGGTATCTTTAAGCTAAGAAAATATCCATGATATATAATATAATTAAAATTTATAATAAATTATATATAAAAAAATATTATATTTAAATATATAAATTATATTTAAAATAAGTATATATAAATATTTTTAAACATATAAATTATATTTTAGATTTATGATATATAATTTATCTTGTAAAAAAGTATTTTTTATTTATTGATAATTTATTTTAAAATATTAACATTTAATTAATAAATAATTATAATAAATAAAAATAGAATTAAATAAGATGTTAAAAAAATCTAGACAAATTTTCTCATCGAAGAAAAATTTATAAAAACATCATGTGAAATAGAAATTTGTATTTAATATATAGAAATTAATTATAATTTAGCATTAACGTAAATATAGATTAATACTTTCTATTTTACAACTATCACGTCAGATCATATTAAGTTGTTATTATCAATTTCAGATTCAATGTATATTCTGCTGTGGAAAAAACAATTTAATGTTTAGTAGAACATGTTTGCATAAAAGGTGGTCTCAAGACCTTCGTCACAGCCATTAAATGTAATTATTTAATTTAAATATATTTTTGTCTCCATAATTTATTTTATTTTAAATTTGATCTCCATATTTTATATTAACAAAAAAAATGTATTTAAACTTAATTACTTTAATGAATTAATGAATAAGATTGATAACATAGTTACAATCCAATAAATGAATTAGGGAGACAACCGGACCATGTCCCTATAACGACCTATGTTTGCGTCTCGTGTTAGTTGGTATAACATTTGATTAAATTTATCCATAGTCCAGGAGCCACGGTTCAATAAATTAATTCTTTTAAACTTAAATAAGAGAGGCATATATATACACCATATTTCCATAAATTAATATTCGAAAAAGTTTAACCGAGAAGGAAATATGTGGCATTCAAAAAAAAGATATTTGGATCTTCTACTCTTCCACATTGTTTGCAAAAGGAATTACGAAATTAACTCAAATTGATGTCGTTTCTCGAAAGGACTTGTTTGATTAATTAATCCGGATCCTAGTTTGCTGGATTCAGCGTCATTACACTCATGAATCAATCTTTTTATCCATCAGAATTATAATAAGGATAATAGATTAGAAATTTAGTAACATGTGGTAATCTAATGAATGAACTAAACTTGATAAAGTGGTAACCTAAGCTAATGAAATATTATATCCTCTTTAATTTCTATGGTATCAGCCTATCGCATTCATCTTCCTTTGGTTGGAGAAATGCTTAGGTCTAGTCCCATGTTTATTCCATTAAAAGCAATTGGAGCATACATCCACAGATCGTCGGAACTCAGAAGCTGTTTCATCCAAATCAAAATTTTGGAAACATAAAATGAGTTAATAATCACTATCTTCTGTAAATAAAAATAAATAAATTGCTAGATGGAAATCATCTTTTCCAAGTTGTTACCTTAATTTGGAGCTGTAAAAACTTAACGTATTGGACAGCTTCCTCAAGCATGGTGCTGATATCCACCTACAATTTACGAAGAAAGAGATTGAGAATCTGAACACCTTAACCAATTTAAGCAATTGCCACTAAGAGTGTTACCTTAGTTCCGTTGGGGACAAGGTTTTGCAGTATTCTCAACCTTTCATTTATTCTTTCTCTTCTCTTCTGCAAAACACGAGGAAAGAACCCTTAGGCATAATGGAAGATGTTTATTTAACAGAAGGTTTCAAATTGTTATATGTGATTTCACCATGCAACTGCAATTGTCATTGTGTCTATCTCTCCATCAGGAAAAAAACAGTTATTATATAAGTTGTTATCTCTCCATTACATAATTTATTATATTTATTAACGATAGAGTACAAAAAAAATATTATTGTATAAGTTATTATATAATTTATTATATTTATTAATGATAGAGCAAAAAATATATTATTGTATAAATTGTTATCATTACTCATAGTTTAAACACAGTGATCATTGATGACTGTTACTGATATACATGTGCAATTGTCACAGTGATTTTATTGAAGAAATGCCCTTCAAAAGGGTGACTTACTCTTGCATAGAGGCTCTGAGAATCAGTGGCAGGGCGGGTAGTTGCTCTTGATTTTCTATACGAATTGGGAGATGCAAGATCTTTTGATGATACCCCTCCATTTGGCTCCAGAGAAGCATTAGAGTCACCTTGTGAAAAACAGCTATGCCTTGGGAGGCTCAAGCTTCTATCATCTTCATCGTTGCTCATTGAAGCAGATTTTGGATTTTTCCTCGATTTAGCATTCCTCACTGTTTTTGAGACCTATGCACAATAAAATCATGATTGGAGTCCAACACAAGTAAACGACATAACTATACTATTCTGAAGGGGGGAAAAAAATACACATACTGATAGCACTAGGTAGCAAAAACATTAACTTGGTATCTCTCTACCTCTATTGAGCTCCGAAGTCTTTTTGTCAGGGTCTCCAGGTTTCTGCTTCCATCCTCTTGTACAGGTTCAGAAACCATGATTTCATACTCCCTCTTAGCCTGCAAATTGTTGTCAGCAAGAGCCACAGGGTCTAGACTTAACTCTTCATCAGTGTTTTCATTTATCCGTTGGCTTAAGTTGTCATTCAACTGAAAACTATATGGACTAAATTTGGCATCTCCCAGGGAATAAAGCATGGACACAGAGTCAAAGTTAGATGCTGGATCACAGGAGTAGCTTCCACTACTTGTAGTGGAAAGTATGTTATTACCACCACTATCAGTGCTGGAGCTACTCCCTTGTGAGAAACACAAAAAATTAGTATCTGTAACATTTGAAACAAAGTTTGAGTTGCTGTTAGTATCTGCCATGGTCACTGTTGTGGATTCATGGGAAGGCCAAAAGCCAAAACTGGTATTTCCACAGTGCTTTTCTGTGACAGAATAGTTACCACCAAACAACTGAGCCATAAAGTCAGCTTCCTCAGTTGTGTGCAATCCACAAAGAGAACCCCATTCTTCAGAAATCAGTTGAACAGGTTCCATATTTCTTTTAAAACCTGTGAGAAGGAAACGGTTCCCTTGTTTTAGTGTGATAGTATTTTGATGATAGGAATAGTGAGAGCATTACTAGTACATTTATACTCAACAACCTAAGGTAATGCCAAAAAGGGATTGGATTCAAGTATGGAAAAAGATCCCATTCATTATTGGAAAGAATTAAGGGCTGACTAAGTACCAAGTCTAATACCCAGAAATTAATTTCCACTAGTCCTTGATGGGACCACTTATAACTTAGAGAACTCATCTCATGGTCTTGATCTATATATTAAAGTAGCAATCTTGAAAGGGGCTTAAAATTCCCCTCTCAGGTGAGAAAGAAGTATTGCTGAATGAGACTAGTGGTACATTAGAGACAAATAAGGAGAATGAAAAATGTCATTTGCTGGCCCTGAATATGATATTAATATAACAAGAATTATTTGTGTTAGACAGAAGGAACGAAAGTGACATTGACATGGACAATTGAGCTCTAGGCATGGTAGTGTCTCTTGTTTGTCAAACATTCTAAATACCTAATTTAATTTGAATCGGACAGTGACTGTGTTGTCTGCCAACTGGGTTCATGTACCCTTCGAAGCAGTCTAAAACACAACCAGTTCCCTCAACTCAAGAATTCTGTTTTGTTAATATTTTCTAACATATATTTAACTAACATGTTGTGTGTTCAGGTCATTTTTATACCTTTGTCTTAAAGTATTTTTTTTTTAAATTTCCCCTAATAATTTTGATAATAAGCCCATATATAAGTTATACTATTTGATGAAAACAACTGATCAATTAACTGCATCAAAAAACAAAAACTGATCAATTAACTGAAAATAGAAAAGTTAGTTCAAAGTTGAAAGAATAATTCTAAAATCTTTTTTTACAATGATGATATTGATGCTTAGTGGGTTAAGATTAATTTAATTAAAAGAAGTTTAGAAAAAATGTTTGATAAAATTAAATATTTAACTAGTCAATTAATAATAAATAACACAAAAACACATGTTTATTAAATTTTATATGTTTTTAGACAAAAAATGTTTTTAAGTAATTATATTTTTAAATATTTTATTAGAAATAAAATAAATAATATAGTTTTAAAGGAAACTTCTTATTACAATAAGTAATGTAATATTAATGAAGATAGTAAATGAAGAATTTTATTAATAAAGGGTAAAAATGAAAGAATATATATATATATAAAGAAGTTATCTGTTCAGATATTATTCCGAGTAATAGTAATATCTGAATAAATATTTGATGTTGGTGAAATTAACTCACTTATTAAATACATCTATTTTCATCAAACAGCTTTATAATAATGTCCACGAACAAAAAAAAAAGTAATCAAATAAATTGTGTTAGGTAAGATAACAATTCAATCGCACTCTTACTCAAAATGTAATTATAAAATAATTGGGGTAATTAATATGTGACAGAATCACAGAAATGAATGCCCCTAATTCAAAATAGAATGGAGCTACGTAGCATGTGAAGCGCCTCGTGAAGAACTGCAGATATGAATATGTATGGAAGAAAAGTAGTTGCCATTTTAGAATGGCAGATATAGAAAACCGATCAATAGCTATGAAAAAAAGTGGTTGTATATATGCGGATACAGAATGACACTATTCAAAAAAATGCATCGATAATATATAAGGAGTTTCTAAATAATTGATGTAATGCTGTAAAAAAAATAATGTAATATGTGGGATGATAATATTTTTATGATGTCGAAATAAATATTATAAATTGGTTGTTAAACAACAATCAATTTATTGTAGATTAGCACCAAAAAATTAAGACACGTTATAATCATTTTGTCTTTTTTCTTCAATGTTATACAATATGTACAAGACACATCATAATTTTTTTGTGTTACTTCTTCAATGTTATATATATTAAACTTATTGAACTACAAAAATTTGATGAATAGGAAAATGATGTTGCTATTATCTTATGTTAATTAGATATGTATTTTTTTCCTAATTTTATTTTTTACATTATGATATATTTGATTGTTTATTTTGGTAACGAAAATTATGTTATGTGACCCTATTTATGTACAGTACATGTATCTAGTTGATCAATGCATATGAAAATTCTAAAAATAAATGTGAAGAATTCACATTATACTAGCTTAAAACATTTATCGTTCAAAGATATATATATTACCAAAAAATATATATATTAAGTATTGTATTAATGCTCTGCTTTTAATATTTTTTTTATAATATTTATAAAAGAAGAAGATAACAAAGAAAAATAAAATAATTTTTAAAAGTTTAAATTAATTTATGTATAAATTAATTGTAGAAGTTTTGTCTTATTAATTTGTCAAAAATAGTTTTTTATATATAAGTTGATACTAACTTATAGAAGAAAAAAAATGTTTTTTTTTTTATTTTATTTTTTTTCTTAAAAATATTTTATCTGAACAAGACATAGAAGTAAGAGTCCGGCTAATAGAATGTACTCATGTGTCTACTTCTATCACATCAATTATAAAGGATAGTTTTTAAATATTATTTTTAACTCTTAGAAGTTTATGTGCAAGTTTTAATATATATAATATATAAGAATATAAAAATATTATCCCAAGTTATTTACTTATAAGTTAGGTCATATATTTTTTTTCATGGGTCATTTCTAACCTTCTCCTTTAACGGGAAAACCTTTTTTGAAAAAATGGAAATAAAATTTAGTAAAAAAGACAAAGATTTAATATGACATACTCATTCACCGAGTCTTTACTAATTGTAAAAGTCCTAGGAATAAATGACTTTGAAGTTCTTTTATGATTGTTACCATTACGAATAGGTCCAAAGGAAATTCTAAACCATGTTCTTGTATCAATTGTTGTTACTTTAATTTCAAAATGAGAAATAAAGCACAAATAATGAACTCAACTACTTTTAGGATTTCACGATTAATGAAGACATGAGTGAATGTGTGTCAGTAAAATTTTGTCCTTTTCAAATTAGTGAAGATAATGAATGAATTCCAACACAAACATATTATTGCTCATGCTTGTTGAATCCTTTTCCAATTTCTTCAAGAAGGGCTTCTCCATTAAAGGAGAAGGGTTAAAGATGAATCATGGAAAAAAAATTAATAACTCATAAAAAAAATCATAATCCGACTTGTAAATAAATAATTCATAGTAATTTCTTTTATACTTATGTAATAATAATATAAATTATATATATATATACATTAAAATTTGCACTTAAATTTTTAGGAGTTGAGAGTAATATTTAAAAAATTATCCTCTATAATTAACGTAACAAAGATAGATAAGTGACCACATCTTGTTAGTTAAATTTTAAAGAAAAAAATGAAATATATTAATTAAAATATACATAAAAGTAATACTCATTAAAAAAAAAAAAAGGGGAAGAATAATTTGTTTGAAAAAGAAGTGTGTAATTAGTAGTTGGAATGATTTAGAAAAGTAGTTATGTGACTATCCCACCAATCACCGTTGTTCCTGCCGGTTTCTACGCTTCAGTTTATGCGTAAGTACTAAGTACCCTTCCTCACTCCTCACACTTCATGCACATTGTCATGTAGGAAGCAATGCTATATTCAACCAAAATTAAATTTACACGTAATCCTTTAACACTTCGCACTAGACTTAAATTTGTGCCATTCAATTTTAAATTATATATCTAAAATACAATTTTGAATCACAAAAATAAAATAATTCTACTCTACAAAATCAGTAATAAAGAAATACACAGCTTGTAATTCACAACTATCACCTGCAAATTAAGTAATGTGCTAAACATTGAGGTCACCAGCTAGTAAATTATGTGTTAATTACTTTTTTTTTTTATCTTTACTTCATTCAATTTAATCTATTAAATTTACTAGTCATGGAGTCGAGTATAAGTGATTTACATATACTAAATCTAAAATTGAATTATTTAGACAATATTTAAATTTCATCCTTCACGAAAATATTTCTTTGTTAGATTTTATTTACTTTCCGATCGAACTAGATTAATTTAATATAAAATTTTAGAACATTGATATAAAACAAAAAAATTATTCAATTTACTCTTATTATTCATGAGTTTAACTTAGTTTCTTAATTTTTTTTAAAAAAAAATATGTTTTTCATCTAATTAAAACTAATAATGACATTAAATTTTTGTACATGTAATGATATATATGAGGAATAATTTATTTACTTCAAGAATAAATTTATATAGACTTACTTTTTTAAATAATGCATGTTTTATATTAAATTTTAACGATCCAATTGTTAAATTAAAAGTTCTTAATGTATATATTAACTCTACAAATTTTTAAAATATTTAAAAATTATTTAATACTTTATTTCATTAATTCAAATTGACGAATAATCATAAAAATATTTTATATGTTGATTTGAATTTATATTATGAAGTATCAAATAATTTTTAAATTTTTTTAAAATTTACAAACTTAATCTATATATTAATTTTTTTTAATTTAATGTATTATATAAAAGGAAAAATTCACGAACTTCCATAATATACATTAAATTTTAATGATTTAACAGTTAGATTAAAAATTCTTAACAAATATATTATTTCTATGAATTTTTATAAGATTTGAAAATTATTTTATACTTTGTTACATTAATTCAAATTAACGTATATTGATAAAATATATATATATATATATATATATATATATATATATTATATGTTAATTTAAATATATGTAATAAAGTATTATATAATTTTCAAATTTTATAAAAATTTATAAATTTGATGTATTTATAAATTTTTTTAAATTTATCTATTAAATTGTTAAAATTTAATATGACCATAAATTATTAAATAAAATAATTCAATCAATAATTATTATTAAAGTGAGTGAATCTCATTATATGTGTGTAAAAGAAAATTTAAATACATGTTATACAATATTATGGTTTACAAATTCAGATGAGAATATTATTTTGAGTCACTCAAAACTGCAACAATTTAGTTGTCGAAATGAAG